TAAGATCCCATACATTACACACACTAGATGGTATTTGGGTTCTCCGCCAAGCTGTTATATTAGCTACCGACTTTCAGCTGTGCGAGCCACACATGATGTTACCTATTTGTGGCATGTACCATGGGAATGTCCTGTAGTGATGGAGCCTTCTGTGACTTCTCTTCTTTTCAAGTATGCCTCCTTTTCGGAGGCTGGGGCTTGTGATCAGCTCAAGTATGTGTATGTATACACACACAGACACACAGATGGACACACACACACACACACACACACACACACACACAGAGCAAGACTGTGCTGGTGGTTCCTAGCATAACGCCTGACCTGAGCTAACACAGAACCAAATAGGACCCTTCTAGAATGGCCAGGAGAAGCTGTAGATAGGAAGGCAATGGCTGCTCCAGCAGGATCTTGGGCCACTGCCCCTACCTTCGGTGACCCAGCTGTTCCCAGAGCATACAATACAATGCCTTCCTCATTCTTCAGCATTTTCCATCCCAGTATTTTTGTCTAGAATGTTCTCCCTTTCTATTGGTGAACATCTAATGTAACGGATCTGTCAGGAATCCTTCTCTGACTCTCCTGATGGTGTTCCCAGTATTTTTGTCTAGAATGTTCTCCCTTTCTATTGGTGAACATCTAATGTAACGGATCTGTCAGGAATCCTTCTCTGACTCTCCTGATGGTGTTCCCAGTATTTTTGTCTAGAATGTTCTCCCTTTCTATTGGTGAACATCTAATGTAACGGATCTGTCAGGAATCCTTCTCTGACTCTCCTGATGGTGTTCCCAGTATTTTTGTCTAGAATGTTCTCCTTTCTATTGGTGAACATCTAATGTAACGGATCTGTCAGGAATCCTTCTCTGACTCTCCTGATGGTGTTCCCAGTATTTTTGTCTAGAATGTTCTCCCTTTCTATTGGTGAACATCTAATGTAACGGATCTGTCAGGAATCCTTCTCTGACTCTCCTGATGGTGTTCCCAGCACCTTTCTGAACGCCTCTAGCACCTTTCAGATGTGACGGGTATCGGCTATCCCACTGTTCGGTGTTCAGTCCGGTCTCCAAGTGAGACTGTGAATTCAGAGAGCAGGAGCCAATGACATGACTTGAACAGAGGGATGCAGGATGCTACTGTGGTAGGGAGAGGGAAGGCACAAGTCTGAGAACTTTGGCTGACGTAAAGTGTGATGATAGGGTATCACGGGAACTTCTGCTGGCCTCACCTTGGCAACCTATCCCCTCTCCATGGCTACCTGTCTGCACTGCCTATATCCTGTACAACAGAGGCCCAGAAGGCTCAGCTCAGCCAAGCCCCACTGTGATGAGTGCTAGTGGGTGACAAGTGCTAGTGGGGTGGTTCTGCTCAGTGTCTACTCACTCTGCTTGCTAAGGGCTGAGGGCTCCTTGGGCTTCTTAGGAGTTGCAGTTGGAGTTGTTGGAGCTGGGGTTGGGGTGTGGGTTGGGGTTGGGGCTGGAGTTGGGGTCTGGTTTGGGGTGTGGGTTGGGGTTGGGGCTGGGGTCTGGGTTGGGGTGTGGGTTGGGGTCTGGTTTGGGGTGTGGGTTGGGGTTGGGGCTGGATTGGGAGCCTGGCTTGGGGTGCGGATTGGGGTTGGGGTCTGGTTCGGGGTGTGGGTTGGGGTTGGGGCTGGGGTTGGGGTCTGGTTCGGGGTGTGGGTTGGGGTTGGGGCTGGGGTTGGGGTCTGGTTCGGGGTGTGGGTTGGGGTTGCGGCTGGGGTTGGGGTCTGGATTGGAGTCCGGGTTGGAGTTGCAGCTGGGGTCTGGATTGGAGTCCGGGTTGGGGTTGGGGCTGGGGTTGGGGTCCGGGTCGGGGTTGCAGCTGGGGTTGGGGTCTGGATTGGAGTCCGGGTTGGGGTTGGGGTTGGGGTTGGAGTTGGGGTCCGGGTCGGGGTTGCGGCTGGGGTTGGGGTCTGGATTGGAGTCCGGGTTGGGGTTGGGGCTGGGGTCGGGGTCCGGGTTGGGGTTGGGGCTGGGTTTGGGGTCAGGGTGGGGGTCTGGGTTGGGAGTGGAGTTGGGGTCGGCGTCGTGGTGGTGGTGGTGGTTGTAGTCGTCGCTGTAGTTGTGGTTGTAGTCGTATCAGTCTCGTCTGCAGTCTTGTTGGTGAAACTGCTGGTCACACAGAGCTTGCTGGTGTCGAGCGTGGACTTGCTGAAGGGAGACATGGGTGAGTGCATGCTGGTGGAGCCATTGGAGCTGCAGCTGAGTGCAGCCAGGTCCAGTGCCTTGCCCCCTGTGATGATGGGGATGTTGAGGGACAGCTTCCGGCGGCGGCTTGGGGACGATGTACTGATGGACAAGGGTGGTGGTGAGGAGAACTTGCGGATGGCACGAGGTGACTTGGGAGGCTCTCCATATAGAAGCTTGTTGTTCTGGCCACTGGCAAACAGGAGCTCCAGTGACCTGTGGGGACGGGAGGGGAGGAGAGAGAGCTGTTGGTGTAGGCTTGCCCACTTGGCCTGCTTCCTACAGGGCTCAGGGTGGCTGACAGCAGTGTCTCCCTTATGTGTATGGTCCCTGATGCTGGGGATGGGTTCCTGTACAGGCTTGGGGACAATGTCTATATCCACAGGGCTCGAGTGGGCTGGATATTTTGGTGCTGAGGGTGCTTCTATCCAATACTGCTACCTCTGCCTCCTTCCTGAGGTGCTAAGCCTCCTGACTACAGGCCTCTGCAGAGCCTCCATCTGTCCACAGGAGGCTGCTCTCACCTGCATGCTCTGCCCTTTTGTCCATAGAGTGGTCCTAAGGGATGCTCGTGGGCAGGGAAGCAGAGGCTCCTGGACAGGCAGTGACTCATCGGATGCCTCTGGCTCTAAACCCAGCGTCTACACCATGGCACTGAGGGTTTCACATGACCACTGCGTTGTGAGGAGAAAGTTTAGGGCCTTAGGAATCTCAAGGCCAGGCCTGCATTTAAGGCCACCTCAGGCAGACTTGTAAGACTTGTGGAAAGTCTCCTGGATTTTCTGGGCGGTAGCTTGCACACTGGTGCTTCAGTGATGTAGGCAATGAAGACGGCCTCAAAGCCAAGTTGGCTAAAGGGTTCTGCCCACTGGAGGATGTTCCTTGAGCATACCATAAAAGGCTCCCCCAATCTTCAACGCATGATGGGTGTACACAGAGCAGGGGCACCTTTCTGCCTATCTCTCTTCCTTCCATTTTTCCATCTTTCTATAAAGGGTGGGCCCCGTGTTTCCCATAGGGGTGTAGTGATGGGAAGACAATGGACATCCCTTGACTTCCCTGAGCAAGGCAGGCAGGGGAGATAAAGGAGGCTTAGTGAGCAGCAGCACGAATGGCCAGGCCTCTGGGCTTTGGGGGAAGGGAGAGGGAGCAGAGTGACTCCTCCCTAGAGAATGGAGTCCTCCCAAGTAGACCTCTAACAGGTTGTATAGCTGTGGATGACATTATGTAGCTGCTCTTTCCACTCACAGCTCCAAAGCTCTGGGATTATAGACTTGGACCACCATATCCTGTTTCCTTTGGAAAAGTCAGACTTGAAATGTACTCCCTCTGTGGTCTGGGAATGGTGTGTGCCACCACATCCTCACCTCTGGGACAGCCTCTTCTCCAGGGACCTCTTTGGCCTGGAAGATCTGTGGGTTTGGGAAGGGGTGCACATACTAGTGGGGAATGGTGTGGATGGGATTAAAAAATATTTTTCACATGTAGCCAGGCAGTGGTGGCACACACCTTTAATCCCACCACCTGGAAGGCAGAGGCAGGGGGATCTCTGTGAGTTTGAGGCCATTTTGGTCTACAGAGAAAGTTCCAGGACAGGCTCCAAAGCTACAGAGAAATCCTGTCTTGAAAATAAAAAACAAAAAAGTATTTTCACATTTAACTAATTAGTTAATGTGTGTGTGTGCGTGTTTGTGCAAGGGCATGTGTGAATACGTGTGTGTATGTCGGGGGATTTTAAGGTCATAGAGTAAAAGTGGAAGACATTTTGCAGGAGTGAGTTCTCTCCTTCCACCATGCTGCTTCCAGGAGTTAAGCTTAGGTAATCAGGCTTGGCAGCAGGTGCCTTTATGCACTAAACCATCTTGTCAGAACACAGGGATTCTCACAGACGGTGATGGCAAGGGATGTCCACGCACCTGGCGGGGATGGCACTGATGGGTTTCTTGTAGATAGTGATTAGCTTGTCTAGGACCACCACAGCGGTGGTGAAGACACGGTAGGAGTGCAGGAAGGTGTTGAGGAAGTCGATACTCAGGAAGCGAAGGTCTGTCAGCCGCTCCAGCAGCCGCTCCACACTGGCATACCGGATCTGCAGCACTTTGCAGGAATTCATGGTTTTGCTGAAGCGAATGTCAACATCATCACAATATAAGGAGGCATCAGACCTGTGGAGGAAGAGGTGACATGTGTGCAAATGTCAACATCATCACAATATACGGAGGCTTTGGACCTGAAGCCTGAGGGAGGAGGAAGAGGTGACACCTGTCTAAGGTTGTTTGGGCTCATGGTATCTCCTCACCAGACCAGGGCTGAGGCTACCACCAGGCCACCTTGTCAACCCCCACCTCCCAGTCAGGAACAGTTTTCCTAAGGGAGCATGGGAAGCTTCAGAAGGAAGCTGTACCTCTTCTCCCACCCTTCAGTATTCAACACCGACCGCCAAGGGTATTGGAAAATATAATAAGCTTTTTAAAATGTGCTTCCAAATTCCCAACACACGGAATATGCACATTTATGTCTACAGTGGCACTGTTCTCAAGAGCAGAGTGGAAACAAACGTATGTCCATGAGCAGATGAAAGGACAAATAAAGTACAGTGTGATGTTACTCAGCCATGGAGAGAAATGAAGTACTCACACACACACACACTCACACACACACACACTCACACACACACACACTCACACACTCTCACACACACGCGCACACACACACACTCACACACACTCACATCACACACACTCACATCACACACACACTCACATATACACTCATCACACACACACACATCACACACTCACACACACACATACACACACATACACACACACACGGTGAGATATTGTTTATGATTTATTAAAGCCTGCCTGAGGATTAAAATAGTACAGTCAGCCATAGGCTGCAGAAGCTGGGCACACACCTTTAATCCCAGCAGCCAGAAGCTAGGAGAAGGTGGTACACACCTTTAATCCTAGGATTTAGGATTAAGAGTCAGTTGAATCTCTGAGTACAAGGCCACCCAGACCTACACAAGAGTGAGTCAGTCTAAAAGAGAATTATAGCTCACACCTTTAATCCCAACATTAGGAAGTATATAAGGCAAGGTCTCAGACAGGCTTTGCATTCTCCAGCCACGCTGAGGAGAGGCAGCGGTTTAAATCAGAACTTTTAGCCTGAGCTAGAGGTGGGAGCTAGTGGCTGGCTGTTTTGCTTTTCTGATAGTCAGCTTGAAGCTTGAACCCCAATATCAGTCTCTGGGTCTTTTGTTTTTTGTGCTACAGACACACACTACAACATGTATAAGCCTTGAAGACATTATGCTAAGTGCAACAGGCTATGCACACTATGGTTCCATTTATAGGACAGGACAGAACAGGCAAATCACAGTAACAGGAAGTAATGTGGTGGATGTAGGGTGTTCAGTGGGTGCAATGAGAACGACTGTTCAAATGTATGTCATCTCTTTCTTTGTGAGTGGTGATGGGAGAATCTTAGGAGCAGAAGCTAATGTTGGCGTTACAACATAGTGAATACACTGAAATTTACTGACTTTTAAAGAAAAGAAATTTATGTTATATGAATTTATCTCAATTAAAAAATAACTAGGGTCAGGTACTTTAATATCAGCACTTGGAAGGCAGAGTGGGGCAGATCTCTCTGAATTCAAGATCAACTACATAGTCAGGGCTACACAGTGAGAGACCCTATCTAAAAACAAAATGGGTAATACGGGGTTGGGGAAAAAGATAAAATAGAAATTCCACTATTCCAAGTGAAGAGAAACTAGGAAACCAGCTGCTATTTTTGCTGCCCTGAGGTGTGTCTAGATTTTGGAGACTAGTTTCTAGGTTTTTTCACAGATGCCTGGTCTACTGGGTAGGAAGCAGGATGGTGTCATCATGTCAACTTGGGATCTATGACGGATGCAATTTCCAGAGAAAGACAGTGATGGAAAACCTTGTCCTCCAGCAGAAGGGGATGGCAGGTCTTCCTGATCCTGGTCTGGAAGTACAATATGCTACTTTTGGGATCTATGCTCTTCAGACTAAGAGTGTAATGTGGTGTCACAGATGGAATACCTTGGCGACACTCAATGGAAGAACCACAAAACTTTTCTAGAAAGAAACCTTTCAACCAGGTTCTACATAGTCATAGGCAAGATAGGTAAGTCCTCAGTGACAGTTCCAAATGGAGAACCATACAAGGACTTAAGCCCCTCGATATTAACAAATAGCTGGATTTGATGCCCCCCATTTGTTATTTTCATCTTCTTTTCACCTTCTATTCCCTTTCCTTTCTAGTGTGGACAGTGTTGCCATGTCTGTAGAATTTAAAATCCTTCTGTCTCAAGTGCTGGAATGACAGCTGTGTGCCATGCTTGGCTCCCCCTACCTCCGCCTTTTCAACTAAATGTGAAAATTCTACCTTTGGTTATAAACTAACCAGAAGTCATCTTAAACTCTCTTGGCTTAGAACGTCTTCAATGCAGTAGGCCTATTGAGATCTCTCTTCTCATAGCTCCCAAAAGCTATTACCAATGAAGCTGGTATTGTAAAGCCTCTCACGAACTGCCACCTTACATGCCGATTGCATGGGCAGTTTAGGAGTGCATGCCGTTTGTCTCCCTAGCTTTTGTGGCATAGGCCATTCCTGACCTCACCTTGGCTACTCCTTGAGCATTAGGATCAGCAGGACTTTCAACCCTCTGATGGACAAAGAAGCCTTCAGGGCCTGTCAGGCAGCCCGAGTTGGACTCACTGAAGACTTTTCCTCTCCCCAAGGAGATCACTATTGGTGGGAATTTGTCCCAGGCAAGACCTACCCATAGCCATTTCTAGGACTTTCTAAAACTGGATCTGTCATCAGGTCTCATTCCTCTCTGGGCTGAGATGTGAGATGGGAGTCAGTCACCCAGGCCACAGGAGGCTAGAGTACTGAGGATGGAGCTCTGTGTTGTGTGAACTCAACATCAACAGCTTCTTCTGGGCTTGGTAGGAACCAGCAGCCCCAAAGGTCATTGTATCATGCCGTGCTAGCTGGAGGCTAAACCACAGTGGACTCACTTTAATGGCAACAGGGTGGGGGTATATTTAAGCTTAAGCAATGACTCCGAAGCTATGTTTTGTTGTCCATAATTATGTTTTCTTTTTAAACTTTGACACTTGATTCTCCTTCCTTCCTTATTTTTGTTGGCCTGTGTTCCCTACACATTGAAGGCTATCTCTTTGTAGTTGTTTTTACTTGCAGCTAGTAGCTGTCTTAGACCTTTTGTGTTTCTGGTGGGATGTTACTGGAGGAGGATATACATGAACAAATAAACATTTGCTCTTATCGAAAGGATAAGCTTGAAATTTTTATAGTTGACTCTCAGAGTGAAAAAATACCATCAGAAAGAGGAGTTGAGTCTGTATTGACTGCTGAGGTGAGAACAGGCTAACACCTGAAATGGTGAGAACAGGTGACTTTTCTCACTGTGTGACAGAATACTTGATGGAGTAACTTAAAGGAGGTTCATTCATGCGGTCCACCGCAGGGTGGGGGCTGGGGGTGGCATGAGGAGTGGTGCAGCCAGCTTGGATCTGTATGAATCCAGGAACAGGGCCTGGTTATGATCTCAAGCCCTTTTCCCTCTAGTGATTCACTTCCTCCAACTGGGTTTAGCCCTTTAAAGGCCCTACAGTGTCACAGAACAGTGTCACCAGTGTCATGTATTGAAACACATGAAATAATGGGGATGCCACATTCAAATCATAACGGCATCCTTGGGGCCAGTGTGAAGGACACAGCTTGATGCCAGCTCTACTCTTGTTTCCTAGACAACACCTATTCTTTACTTCTTAGACTCCTCATCTGTGAACTGGAAATAGACCTTCCACAGAGCTTTCTGGAGAGTGGGATGAATGAACCAATTTAAGAGGCCTCTCGTGGTACATGGAACACAGAAAGCTGTAAGTGAGCACTGGCTCTGAATTCACAGGCTCTGCAGAAGGTGATTCCAACTCAAGGCTACACAGAGAGCTCGGGGAACTGAGAAAATGACTCATTTTTTTCATTTGTGCCCTTCCTTCCTTCCTTCCTTCCTTCCTTCCTTCCTTCCTTCCTTCCTTCCCACAGAGATCCACCTGCCTCTGCCTCCTGGGTGCTGGGATTAGAGGCGTGCACCACTGTTACCCAGTTTCACTTGGGGGAGCTGGTGGCGCAGCTGGGCAGTAGAGTACTTGCCAAGCATGTGTAAGACCCCAGTTTCCACTTCCAAATACTTTCTCTGGAAATGGGATTTGAAATGTCAATAAATAGCCTTTCCCCCAAAGCCACTAATGAGCAGGAGGGTGAACTACAAGGTGGAGAAAGGGGACAGCGGATTAGGGGAGCATGTAGACAAATGGCAGTCCTCATCACTGGGAAGGCACTGCTCTTCTGTCTTGCTTCTCCCTGCCTGCATCATGGCGGAGGGGCAGTCCAGGAGAGCCCTCTGTAACTCAGGTAATGTGGGGCTGGCACTTGACCATAAGTCACCGTAATCTGTTCCCTTTCTCCACTCCCATCCCTGCTTCTTACTCTGCGTTTCAGATGGACTCACCAAACCCTAGGGTGAAACATCTCAATTTAGTCCCTTGAGCCTGTCTGCTCCAAGGCCTATGGGATAATTGGACTCATAGGGTACCTGGAGAGTAGAGTTCACTCAAAACATGAATCAGACATCCCAATCCTCCATCACAAACCCCAGCATCTTTCGAGCCCCAGGGGCTGGCCCTGCTCAGGTCCCAGCTGTGCCTGATTGGTGCTTGGTTTCTGGAGCACAGCCAGGTTAAGGGCACTTACTTGATCATCTGTGGCACGGTGACCTTGGAGTTCTCTTCAAATGCGTTCATCATGAGCCCATTGCACCGGATATTGTCCACACACTAGAAACAGAGGGGACGCTGGGCTCAGAGCTCAGTCTCCATACTGGATCCCAGACTCACCTGGAGCTCTCCCAGCCTGCACACAGGGTCCTCAGATGCCAAGGGCACTGTCTAGGCAAGGGCAAGGCCAACGCAGTGTTATTCAAATTCTGGAAATCGAGTCACCTTTTGGGACTGACTTAGCCTTCTTGAGTCTGTTTCCCTGTCTTCCCAGATGGGCTTAGTGACTCTTGTTTTAGCAGGGTGTTTGTCAAGCAGATGCATCAGACTCTGGCCTCGCTGCTGCATCCTTTGATGTCAAGGTTCACTAGGGACAGGCAAAGGCTGGGTTTGATTTCTCTATTTTCTCCAGGGCACACTGTTTTTTTGGGGGGGAGTTGGAAAGGGGGGGCTAAACTCAAAAGAATAGATTTACACTATGCATAATCCCACATTGCCTTGGTTCTCTGTGGATTTTAGAGGAGCAGGTTGCCAGAAGGTCTAGCCACCTGATGTCCCCTGGACCAAGTAATATTGATGTCTGCAACTTTGTGGACTGCCTGGATGTTCAGGTCAATTTAGAGTTCCACAATATGAAAGCTAAGTCTTGGTATTTTATTATCACTGTTTATCTGGAAGGTTCTTGCAACTCTTTTTTTTTTTCCTTCAGTGCTGGAGATCAAACCCTGCTCTGGAGCAGGGCACACAGGTAAGAAGGCAGGCAGCTGTGAGGGAGCCCTCTAGGCACACTGGGTACCCTGCCTTCTCCAAGTCCCCGAGGCACAGGGACTTGGCTGTGCTAGACACAACTGCCTTTTCTGTGGCTAGTGGCTCTCCTAAGCCTGCCTGCACAACCTTGCAGAGCGGATGTCCACAGGCAGACACCTGGGACCTGGCTCCTGAAGTTATGGGACTGCCCTTTGCCTCCTGGAGCACAAGCCTGCTGGAGCAGCTGACAACCCTGTGACTCCATTCAACTTGTCACCTCTTGCATTTCCAGTCCTGGGCTGCTGCCTTTCCAGGAGAAGCCAGTGCTTCCTGCCTAGTGGTTAAATGGGGGTGGGATGGGGGAATGACTCTACAGCTTGCAACAGGCAAAGGACACACATTTCTCCAGCCTATGGATGCCAGCTAGGACTTCAGGAGGCTGCCCTGGTTCTCTGGAGTAGGTACCCAAGTGTCTGCTGCATCTAACATTCTTGGATGGCAGCACGAAGACATTTTGTGTGTGTGCATATAAGCATCCGGAGATCAGACTGAAGTGCAGACACCCTTGCCATTGACAGGTCTGGGGAGCAGAGCCTGGCAGTCTTAGGGTCTAAAACCACATTGCAAATGGAATGCATTGGCTGACTCTGCCTGGGCTGGGGCCGTGGACCTGGAGGGCTCTGGTCTTCTCTAGTAGAACCGTGCCACTGTGCCCTGTCCATCCTGGTCCCTCACCAGGCCAAACATGAAGGGACAATGTGCCCCGAGGAACAGGCGGTGCCGCTCACCTGGCTGATGTCACTGGTCCACGCTGCCTTCTCCTGCCTGGATGAGGCCACCAGGATGACTGTGAAGGGCGAGGAATCCTTTGGCTCCACCCCGATCTTAAAATCCAAGTGGTCTATGTCCTGGGTAGTTCCTTTGGCTTTTCCAGTGACAAAATATGAAGTTAGCGGAGTGAGTGTGGGCGCTTGTGAGCTGGGTAAGGGTCTCTGGTCCCTGAGTTAGACACCAGTAGAGACTCCAGGACGATGCCAGGCCACTGACTGCTCCTTTTAGAACAGTGTTTTATGACTTTTGGCTAGGTGAGAGTCATCATTTCTAACAGGTGAGAACGGAGGATCTGGCATGCACAAATATTTTTTTGAGAAATGTTGTTTAATGGTAAAGCATAGCACACTCCAGCACCAGGATTGGCATGGGATGGCTGGGTGACCCCAAGGAGCCTCACAGGGCGAAGAGGATGAGGGAGGCAACCATCAAACAGAAGAGTCCCATGGCCTCAGACAGGGCAAAGCCCAGAATGGCATAGGAGAAGAGCTGTAAAAATATGGAACCTTCACGAATTTGCGTATCATCCTTGCGCAGGGGCCATGCGAACCTTCTCTGTATCGTTCCAATTTTAGTATATGTGCTGCCGAAGCGAGCACCATGCACAAGAAATTTAAGGCACCCAGATTCTTGATTCAGAGCCTGAGTCACTGAGCAGTACGTCCTCTGCCCTCACTGCGCCAACGGGTTCTGAGCCAGGACTCAACTAAGCCTCCTAGCGAGGAGGCAGCTATGCCAGGGTTAAACGGGGCCTCCCAACACAGTCCTCTCCCTAACACCTGGAACACACAACATTGACATCTGAAACTTTCCTGGACTGGGCTGAACATTCAGTTTGGTTTACAGCTCCCCGGTGTGAAAGTAAATACTGATATTCAACTCCCTTTTTCTTTTCTCTTTTTGGTGCTTGGGATCAAATCCAGGGCATCACACTCACTACACCCTGGAACTCTTGAGCGCTGTCACTGGAAAGAATAAGTTCACAGAGTCAAGATCTTCTATCTGGGGGCACACAACTGTGAGCTGTCTGGCCCAGTCTGGACTGTTCTCTTGCCTGTTTGCATATGGGTCAGAGTCTACCATGATTAACCATCTGCTCTTCCTGCCAACCTTGATGATGAGTGTGTGTGTGTGTGTGTGTGTGTGTGTGTGTATGTGTGAGCATGCGCACAAATAAGCAGCTTGTACACTGACCTTCCTCCTCTGTGTTTTCTGGTTCCTCCATTAAGGTGCAATCGATAAGGGATATGACTCCATTCTGAAAAAGAGCAGCAGGCACCATTTTGGACCAGGAGTATATGTGCTAGAGCAGGAGTCCCAGAACATCAGGGCTGGAAGGGCCTCTACACCAAGCAACACATCCACACACCTGTGTACGTGTGTGTGTACGTGTACGTGTGTGTGTGTGTGTGTGTGTGTGTGTGTGTGTGTGTGTGTGTGTGTGTAACATATGCCGAGCGGGCACTTCGGTTTGTAAACAAAGGATCTTGGCTTCCTTTACAAGGTCCAATGAGGTGGGCGAAGTGAGATTTTTCTCTGGGAGACCACCCCTGATGAAGGCTGAGGTCAAACTGTAGGCAGATGGGCCAGAATCTGTCCTGTTTGGCTTCCTCTTGTCACATCAGCATCTCGGAGAATTACATCATACGGCTAAATCTATAAAAACTTGAAATCCTCTGTTCTTGGCCAATGCCTCCTGTTACCAATGGTGAAACAGGCCAAGTTTATGGATGCATTATATGCACTGCTAACCTTATTTTATTGATTCAGAGATGAAGTCAGAGAGGTTAAGGGGTTGCTCAAGTCGCCTGGTCAGCCATTGGTGGGGTCCTGAGAAAGCCTCAGGGCCCTCGTCCCAGCCCCAGGAGTAAAGAAAGGAGACCAGTGAGAAGGGATCTGGTGCAGTCCTCCTATGCACAGGTGCTTTGAGCCCTCTTGAAAGTGAAGCATAACCCTTCCGGTGGGGGCCGGACTGTGATCAGAGCTGAATGAAAACAATCAAATGAAGGCATGCAGCTCTGGGGACTACAGCCTCCTATCTGCTCTCTGGCTGTCTCCTGGATCACATCTCAAGGGAGGTGGGCGCCATGTTGTCGGGGAGAGGTGAAGAGCCGAGGCCACCAGCCAATGGCCTGGTGAATGAACCATCTTGGTTGGGTAAGCTTTTAGAGCACCATGGCCTGGCAAACATGGCTATTGCAAACTGCGGTCTTGAGCCAAGCCCACTTTGAAGGCGCTCTTGACCTCTGACCCACAGCAACTGGGGGGGGCAGTAAGTGTTTGTCCTACAATAACTGATGTTAGTATAGACCGGGCCACATGATTGATCTATATATGAAAATACTGGGCAGGCTTCCCACGTTTTTGTTACGAAACTCTGAATTTATTTTTAACCACTTGCCTGGATTATTTATGGTCTCATGTTATATAGGCTGCTACTTGTGAGGAGAGCATCAGAGGGGATTCCCAGGCCCTGGGGTCTGCTTCTTGCTTCCTTCTTTAGTGGCCTTGAGACGTTCCCAGGACTTTTGAACAGCAATCTTGCCCTGTGATTGCACCGGGTTTAACAATCCTGGGAGCTGACAATCCCCCTTCCCCAGCCCTCTCCCGCTCTGACATTCCCTTAGGTATTTGCAGCTCTGATGCTGGAACCTAAGGCTTTCTGCATGCTAGGCCAGAGCTCTACCACCCGGCTACACCCTGGCTGGTGCTCTCTTCCTGGCTGGTTTTACTTCCTGCATCATAGCTGTGAACGGGGAAAGTGATCGTGTCTGCCTCAGACGTGTTCCAGGAATTAAATATGTGTAAAACACTTGGGACAGGGACCGGTCACAGTAATCAGTCACGAGTCAAGCTCATTATCATAGGATTTACAGTGACTGTTTAACTTACTGAGAATTTATTGTACCAGACCCTGGGACGCCCTCAGCATTCCTGGGAAGTATTTTCATATCCATTACCCAGATGAGGAAACTGAGGCTTAGTGAGGTCACATGACTTGTCTGAGGTCTGCCTGGTATACACAGCAATGGGGTGAGAACGGGCAGGTTGCACTGGAGACAATAGGGCAGTTCCTTGATCTGAGACTGGAAGTTTATATTTCTGTGCTGGTGATTTTCTCTTAGTTACTTTTGGGTCTTAAAGGGTTAGTCTGGGAGCAGGAGAGATGGCCCAGCTGCTGTCCCGTAGAGCACTCATGTCAGATGGCTCAGGGCCACCTGTAACCAACTCCAGCTCCAAGGGATCTCACTTCCTCCTGTGGCCTCCATGGGCACCTGCACACATGTTATACACACGCACGCATGCATACACACATACGCACAAATTAAAATAAAAATAATTTTCAGAAGATGGCCTGCTAGAAAGGAACACAGGATCAGAGCGCTGCTGTATGTACCAGGCAGACCTGACCCTCCCGACCCGGACAGAGACATCTGGAGTGGAACTTGGAGCTAACAAGTAATGAAAGCCTCCCTTGACACACAATTTGGTTGGAACTGGAGTGTTTAATATTTGTGAATTAATTTATCCATGTGCAGCCATCCAGCTAATTTGTTGACATGTTAACATAAGCAGGGTATTCCCCTGAAGCCAGCGCTTGATCTAATAGCTCAACGGCAGGCTATGGACCAGGCATCCAGGTCCCCAAAGGAAGGTTTCCCTGATGCCCTCACTTAATTAAGGGCACCTTCTGGCCTTTTCTCTCCAGGCCGCCGCATGTTCACCCCATCTGCTTGCACAGGATGGGCATGGTGTGGGGAGAGATGGCAGTGTAGAGACAGAAGCTCCTGTAATCAGCACAGCAAAGTCACAGGGACTGTCAGCTCACTGCCAGACCCCTCGTGCAACGTTTCCGTAGGAACAGTTATCTCTGACTGACGAAATAGACTCAGGGCAAGGACATTTGCTGGGTCACGTGTGTGACAGGGTTGGGGCCTGCAGGGGTTCAGACCAATGGGACCAGTCGGGAGTTGTGTTGAAGGAGGTTTGCCAATGAAGAGAGAAGGCTGTGTGACTGGGTACCCAGCAGGGACAAAGACCCTGGGGTCCAAGAGCGGCTTCCCCTTTCCCTACTGAGCCAGGCCATTGAGCTTGTGCTACAGGAGGGCAGATGTGGTGACAATATTCAGCAGCCTCTCAGGGTCACCTGCCCTGAGGAAGGCTTCCTGTGGTAGAGGAGTGGGTGTCTGAGAATCTTTGCCTGGAGATGACAGAGAAAGATGCTACTGTTGCTCTAACCCCAGGCTGGAGGGGACCCTCCACTCTCCCTAGCACCCCTGTCCACAGACCACACACACAAAGGCCCACAACACACATAAACATACACAGACACAGACAGACACACACACACAGACACACAGACACAGACACACACACACACACACACACACACACACACACCCGCGCGCTCGCACGCACACCATCATATGCTCATGCTTGTGTCTGGAAAGGTTCGTTAGAATTCCTGGCCAGCTGTGGGAGTCCCTGGAGCCTGATGCCACCTTCCCGGTTCCCACACTTTCTTCAGTAGGAGATATCACGGGCTGTTCTGCTTATTCCCACCGTCAGTTTAACCAAGGCATGTATGCGTGTGTGCAGGTGTGTGCTCACATACAAAGTTCCGCCTAAGCACTTCAGCAGCTCCTTCCCAGGGCCTTACCTTGGTCAGGTGCAGTTTCCCTCCGGAACCCCTGGTGCAGATGATGAGATGCTTGGAGAACAGGAAGCATTGCCGTTCACCCTCCTTCTTAAGGGACAGAGATCCCAGGCGCCCCCTGGTGATCTTGCCCTTTTCTGACATGGGCACCTGGATGAGGGATCCTGTGGGAGCAGGGGTGGTGGTGAGGAGGCTCTCAGTCTGCCCTCAGATGACACCAATGATGCCACCCCCTGGCCCAGCCCTGGAGGCTGAGGTACAGCCACAAGTAACCATGGAACAAGGTACTCCAAACACCCTGGTCACTCCTCCCAGCCCAGCCAGGTGGTGGGGATAATGACAGCCCTATACAGGACCTCACAACCTCCCAGCCAGTGACCAGGGGCTTGGCAAGCAAAGGGGCTCTAAAAGAAATGGAGAGCTGGGCTGAGGTCTGGAAATGGCCCTGAACGATGAAGCCGAACAAATGGGGAGCCAGAGGCGGGCTGTTGTGTATTAGCGTGGTATACTGCATACCTGTGGCCACAGCAGACATCACCAATCAATCACAGCACTTAGCTTCAGAGCCCAGACTGAGCATGTGATCCTCAGTGTATTGCAGTAGAAAACCACTGCTGGATTGAGTAGGTGGCTGTCTCTACTCCAGCTGTCCCACACAAACATACTCTATAGGTTCCTTCCCTACTGTCTTCACTGTCCTCGGGGATCGGTCACTCAGGGCTCCTCAGCACGGATAGGTCTGAGCTATGCTCCCAGCTCCCCTCCTGTCACCCACTGTCTCTCTTCCCCATGACAAATGCCATCCTAGACGGCACTGCCCAGCCTCTTTGGGAAAGCTGCCCCTCTTGGCTCCTCTGCCCTGCTCTGTGTCTGCTGAATCTTGGATGTCCATAGGTGACAGGTCTTCTTCTGCAGGGTGGGGCTGGCTCCATTCTTTGGGGATCTTGGAGCCCTATGGGGACCTGGTGCCACACAGGGCAGATGCCAGTGTTGGCTCTGTTGCTAAAACGTGGGAAGGGCTGGGAGGGTCTCCAGGTCCTGTTCCAGGATGGAGGAGGAAGTGCTTCTGCTGGTGATGGAGCAGCTTCTGGCATAGAACACGCCTTGTGCAGCTCAGGGAGACAGACAAAGCTGGCTCTGGGCTTCGGGTGTCACAGGCAGGTCCCAGGGAAGGCCTTGGGGGCCACATGCAGGCACTGTCCATGAAACATAATGGATATCA